GCAAACTCCTAGCTGGTCGAGCGCGGTGCCTGCTGCTCCCGGATCAGAGCTCAGAGCTCAGAGCTCAGAGCTCAGAGCGAGCGGTCGGCCAGGCTAACCAGTGACCCCTGCTCTGCTGGCCTGTCCCCTGGATCCCGCCTGGGAACCCGGGCTGGGGAGTGTCCATGAGAGTCACGTCCATGACACGCCCCGCCTCGAAGTGGGCGGGTGACAGCCCTGCGGGTCAGGAATGCCAAGTTAGGACACCCAGCCTGCCTGCGGTATTCCCGTCCTCTTTTCTGGCTCTTTCTCCCGCCCTTGGGGTGCCCCACCGAGAGCCCTTCTTACTGATTCTTCGGGTGACACACACCTCATCTCCCGCCCGCTCCGCCTCCCGGGGAAGGGACCTGGAGGGGGTGTTATTACAGCTGATCCAGGAGCGCGGGTCACTGCGGGATGGTGACAGCCATTCGCCACTTACCTTCTGATGCAACACAGACTCACTGAGCACCCGCTATGGGGTCAGGCAGGTGGCTCTGCGCACATTCCTCCCGGAGCTCCTGTCTGCGTGGGGAGATGAGCACTGGCAGGAGTCAGAAGTCAGGTCGAGCTACGTTCCAAGGCGACCTCCAGATAAGGACCTGGAGGAGGAGCCCGCGCTGAGGCAAGCGGATGCTTGATGTTTCTTGGTGAATGAGCGCTCCTGTGGGCAGCACTATTCCTGGCATTTCCAAGCCCATGACTTGGTTACCAGCGCACAGCCACCCTGAGTACTGTATTATAAGCCATCCTCCCACTCCCCACATTATTTTTTTAATAAAACTGAGTCTGAGGTTCAGGGTTTCTGACTTACTCAGGGGCCAAGTTTCCCAAACACCATATTAAGAGATGCCACTTCATTATCAATTCCTTTTTTTTTTTAAGGTAGAAGAGAACTTGTATTTAAATGGTGCCCAAGGGCGATGCATGTGTTTTGGCACTGATTTCCTCATGTTCTCTGTTTTCTCACCGAGGAAAGGAAAACATAACCCTAACCTTGGAATGCTTCTCCGTGGCCCTCGGTTGTTCGGTCTGAGCTCTGCCCTGTCCTTTGCATACGAAACGGCCTGTGCGTGCAGCTATTTCTCAGCCTGTGTCTTCCCTGTAGAACATGTAAGAACCACTGGCCTCTTTTCATTGTGTACCGTCTCCGTCTCCCTTAAGGAGTCCAAGCCAGCAAGCAGGGTTTCTGCTACTACCCTTCTCTTACAGCGGTTCTCAACCTGTGGGTCGCGAACAATGAAAAGACATTTTGCATATCAGATATTTACATTACGATTCATAACAGTAGCAAAATTAGTTATGAAGTAGCAACAAAAATAATTTTATGGTTGGGGGTCACCACAACATGAGGAACTGTATTAAAGGGTCGCGGCATTAGGAAGGTTGAGAACCACTGTAAGAAGCTTGGAGTTTCCAGTTAATTTTGTTGGGGTTCATGCCATTAGAAAAGCCACCTTACAAATTGTTTTCTGATAAGCTCTTCACCTTGGGCTTCCTGGAGATGTTGTAGGACAGTGCCTTTAAAATTCTGATATTCTGAAAATCCTTATGGGAATTTGAGGCACCATGTCAATGTTTCTAAGGTCTTAAAGGTTTTATCAGTCTTGGCTTCATGCTTAGACCATGTTTTCCTGGAACACCCTAGATTTGATGTTATCTTTATCATCAATTCTAATAATTTGTGTATTTTTGGATCACCCACATACATAACTATGTCATAATAAATAAAAACCTGTTTCTTCTTTTGGCCTTTTTTCTTGTCTTATGATTATGGAACATACAATGTTGAACAGAAGTGGTGATGGTTGGCATCCTTGTCTTGTTCTGGATCTCAAAGGTAAAGACTGTAGCATTAAGGGTAATGTTTGCATTAGTTTGGGGCTCTTATTTATACATATAAATATATAGACACACATCCTTTATCATAAAAATGCTTGCTTTTTAAAAATAGGACTTTTAAAAATATAAATTTTATCAAAATATTTTCTGCATCTCTGAGATGATCATGTGATTTGACTCAACTATTAGAGTTATAAAAATTGATTTTTTGAAACCTTTTACATTTTGAAATAGAAATACATTCAGAAAAGTACATAAAATATAAATGTATAGTTAAGTATAAAAAGAAACAAGCTTATAAAAACAACCAAGTGAAGAAACAAAACGTTGCCCTTACTAACGCTGTCTTGAAGTGACACCCTGACTTGAGTACTGCAAATCACTTCACAGGACTTGCATAGTCTGACAATGATGCATGCATTTCTACACAATACATTCTAGTCTGGGGCTGTTTCTGTTCTTTTGCCGTTTTGAATTGATTGGATTTTTAAACATCTTTCCATCTTTCCTCTATTTGAAGCTCTATCCCATTTCTATTCTTTTAATGATCACTAAATGATAGCATGCATTCTTAACAAAGTCTAGCTTAAGCAACATCCTTACTCCTGGATAGTACCAGACCTTAAAACACTCTAATGCAGTTTCCTCCACTCCCATCTTATATAGTAACTAGAAGCCTGGCCTGTGGGAATCTGGCCGAAACCAGCTCTCCAACATCCCCGAAGGGTCCCGGATTGTGAGAGGGCGGTTCTCAGCTTCCTCCTCTCCAGTTTCGCTCTGGGTGCATCACCTGAGAACCACAGCTGCCAAGTCACGGCAGCTTGGCATCTCCTGCATTGAGCTTCTGCCTCCTGGTGGTCAGTGCATGTCATAGCTACTGGTCAGATGGTCAGATGGTTGCTTAGGCTTTTATATACATAGATTCTCTATATACTTTACCTTTATTATAAAAAAAAAAGTACATATAACAAAGCACACACAAAAGCATGCACTGCTCAGCAATCGATTACAAAGTGAACACCTATAAACCAAGAAAGGGAACACAGGCAGCAATCCAGAAGCCCAAGGTCACCTTGATTTCTCCCACATTATCTTCTTTTGTGTTCAAGTTTTAGATTTATGACCTATTTTGAGTTAATTTTTGTGAAAGGGTTAGTCAGTGTCTAGATCTTGTTCTGGATCTCAAAGGTAAAGACTGTAGCATTAAGTCTTTCTTTCTTTTTTTTTTTTTTTTGTATGTTGTTGTCCAGTTATTCCACCATCATTTGTTCAAAACACTCCTTCCTCCATCGAATTGCCTTTATTCCTTTGTCAAAAATGAATTGACCGTATTATGTGGGTATATTTCTTGGCTCTCTATTCTGTTATATTGATTTGTTTTTTTCACCAATCCCACACTGTCTTGATTACTGTAACTTTATACTAAGTCTTGAAGTTGGGCAGTATCAGTCCTCTGACTTCATTCTTTTCCTTCGATGTTGTTTGTGTTGGGTCTTCTGGGGTTTTTGCCTCTCCATGTAAACTTTATAATCAGTTTGTCAATACCCATTAAATAGCTTTTGGAATTACACTGAATCTATAGATCAAGTTAGGAAGAACTGACATATATTTTTTTCATGCAAAACAAAATCAAATTTAATGGTCTAAAGTGCAAAAGTAGAATAAATTTTAAAAAGCAAAAGAAAATTAACAGAACCCCCAAATGTCAAGACAGTTATGAAGATAACTTTGAGGGTTAATCTTTAAAACTATAAGTCAAAAGTCTTGTGTGCTTATTGTTAATAGATAACTGGCAATAAATAAGTACTTTTCTGCAGAGTGTCCATACGAAAGCAAAGTTTCAAAACGAAATCTGACTAAAATAGAAAAAAAGTCTAGTGCTCACAAGGGATGTGAGAAATACAATAGTCAAATGTTTGTGTTATTTAAAAAGAGCCTTTTTATTCATTTGAACTATGTTACATGTTCTTGGAAATTGAAGGATTATGAACAATAGTATCCAAAGCGTGACAGGCATTTGGGATGTCAGGGCAGCAACACGTGTCCAGGCGTGCCTTGAGCTTAGCTCTGACTTGGGCATATATGGAGTTTCCTTGAAACCCTGGGGTCCATTCCCATTGGCTCCTGGGCTTAGGAACAGGTTCATGTCCTCCTCTGGGGGGCCAGGCCCAGCATGTAGCCCCCTTCCTGGTGGTGGTCCCCCTCAGGCAGGCCCGTGGACACATCCAGGACTAAGTGAGCAGGAGGTGGCAAAGGGAACTACCTGGGGCAACAACTTACTGCCAACCAAAGTAGAAATCACTGAAATTGTGGATGTGGTTGATAAAATGCACATTCAGCATCTAAGAACTGACAACCTGACAATTTTGAGTCTTACTATCCATGAACATGGAATCTCTCCCTATTTAGTTGCTTTCATTAGTTTTGTGGTTTTCCTCTATATATCTTACATCCTTTCTGTGAAATGTATACCTAAGTTTTTCATTTTAGGGGTTGTTCATGTAAATGGTATTGTGTTTCTAAATTTCAAATCCCACTTGTCCATTGCTGGTATATGGGGAAGGGATTGACTTTTGCATAGTAACCTTGCATCCTACAAACTTGGTATAATCACTTATTAGTTCCAGGAGTATTTTTTTTTTTTTGGTCAATTCTTTTGGATTTCCTAGACAATCATGTCATTTGTAAACAAAGACAATTTTATTTCTTCCTTCCAAATCTGTGTATCTTTTATTTTATTTTCTTGTCTTGTTGTATTAGGTAGACTAATGTAAGTGGTATTGTATTTTATTTCAAATTTCGATTGTTCTTTTTGGTATATAGAAAAGCAACTGTTTTCTTGCTCAGCCTGACCAGGGTTCATCATTTTTATCTATCTTTTCAAACACTCAGCTTTTGGTTTTGTTGATTTTTCCTGTTTTCAATTGCAGTGATTTCTGCTCTAATTTTTATAACAATTACTTATTCTAATTATAAACACAGGATAAAGTAACATGGAATCTAAAGTATATCTTAAAACATTTTTTATAATATCTGTTAATAGTTTTCTAAGAAACAAAGAGTGCTTCAGTCTACTTACAAGAATTTAATCTCAAAAATGGTATGGTGTAAAATGCATAAATAATTAGCAAAATTCTTAGTAACTTGTAGAAATGTACTTTATTTCATGCAAAGCTACATAATTTTCTATATTTTAACAGCTAATCAATTAAACATTTCAAAAAATCATTACATCACAATAAATTAAAATAGTACAGAGCAATTCCAAGTCCATGAGTTTGTCAAAATCAAACTGAGAAAACCTTATACATAGATAAGGCCAAATATGCTAATTTACTTATAGGTAGCACTTCGCCGCTTTTTCCAAATCAATTTGAAAATGCAGTGATTATCTGCAGAGAAAAATAGTGAAATCTACAATCCACTGATCAGATAGAAAAACATTTGTCACTACATATCAGGTAGTAATGGCTGATTAAGGATTATTTGGCATCATGCACCAAAAATGAACATAATGAACATTTTGAAAAATTATGATCAGATACATATTTGAAAGACTTATCTTTTATTCCACCTAATCCACTGAATTTGATAATTAGCATATACTTTATTAATGCAACAAAGAAATTAGGCTTTTGGTGTACTTTGCTTGGGTACTTGTATATATTAAAAGAGACTGAGGAGATGTAAGAACATTTCAAATTCACGCTGGACTACTGAACTTTAGAATATTGCCCTAAGGAAATAGGTTCTGGGCAGAATTTATCTGGGAAAGATTTTTTAAATTACTTAAAAGAAATATTACAATTAGTTACTTACAAAAACATTTTATAAAAATTAAATACCAGGAAGTAACAACATCAATATCAGAACTTTTTAATGCTATAATTTATAAATATATATTAGATTACAGTAATTTAAAAGACAGTTCCACATGTTCCCTACCTTCTAAAATAAGAAAAATTCTTCAAGCTTGTTTTCAAAATATGGACAAAAACAAATCCATTGGATTGCTTTTAAAAAATACATACACAGTCTCTCCCCTACAATTTGGTGTAGCAAGTAGGGAAGATGCTAGCCAGCATTCTTTTGAGAAAGACAGTTCAAAGCGACAAGGTTGATAAGATTTATGTCAATTACATCAACTCTAAATGTGTTGTATAGTCAGCTTAATACATTTTACCCTTCATATGTCTGCCATAGTAAATGATATTGTGTTTCTAATCTGAAATTCCACTTTACATGAACTCTCTCCCTCTCTTATTTTTTTGCACTAAACACAGTAAAATCTCTTTGCAAAAATAATTTGAGATCAAGATAACCATAAAAGAAAATATTTTCAGGAGAAAAAAGTTAATGCTCCCCAGGGAGAGTATCAAAAACAAATGTCTTTTAGAATATCAATATGAAAAGAGGAACGTGCCATTATTTTTGCTTCATTCACAAACTTGAAATTATAACAAGGCTTCCATCAACCTTAATGGACAAATCTTTTGAAAATGAGAATAAAATTTAGGGAAATCAGGCTGAGCATGAAAGGAAATGGAGGTGTAAATATATTCATCCTTGTGATTTTCAGACATGGTCCATTCAAATCACAAGTATAAAACTCACAAAACTGGGCAGTGTGAATTATAATCACAGAGAGTTTATTTTTCCTTTAAAATGGTAACCACCACACCATCAAGAACATTCCCTAAACCTATTAAAGGTATAAAAAGTGAGGTTTGCTATTGTACATAAATGAAATTCCTTCATTAATATGCTGAAATACACTTACGAAAACACACATTGCCTTCCCCATCCACATCACCTTTCATTTGGGTACACAAAAGGCATAAATATAAGAACCGATAATCTAATCAAACAGCAGACTCCCAAAACACACCAACTGGTGGCATTTCTTCCCGAGGTTGGGACTGCCAGATTCTCGGATCTGTTTTTTATAACTAAAGAACCACCGACTCTTTTGATTTAGCTCTTGTGAAATGAGGGGCTCTTGCATGATGACATTATCCCAAAGCCCTTGTATTCATTTGGTGAGAGAACAAATCCTAATAATTAGGCTTATATCTTATTTCTTATTTTAGTGATGATTTTTACAAAAATGCTCTATGGATAATAATACATTATTGATGGAGTAACAAAACTTAAGTAGCAACTTACAGGTGTTTCACGAAATTAGTAGATTATTAATTATTTTCTGCAAAGATTACTTTGAATTACCAGCTTACGAATATGCTTACCTAACAATTATTTAGAAAAATAATATAGAAAATGTAATCAGATATCTATTATTATGTAAGAAAGACATCTGACTTCAAGAGGTAATTGCCAGAAGTAACTCTTCAAGAAAAGTACTTTGCGTGTAAAGTATATTAACTTAGTAGTAATGTTTTACAGTAGATGCCATTACATTTTAATAAGCTTCTCAAAAAAGAACTCTCTTGTACTTACTACAGATTTTTATACAAGGTGGCTTACTTAGTCCCCCAGCAATAAACTGTCTTCAGAGATTAAATCATTACTTTCTGAACTCAAATTTACCAGGTAACCTTCCTAACTGATCATATATAAAATCTTATAAATTCTGCTTCAAAAGTTGAGTACTCTGGATCACGTAACCAAAATTATTGGGAAAATAACTCAGAAGTCATAAAGGGATCTACTGTTCATGAAGTGTAATACTTTGATTATTCAAATAATAAAAAATTAATAATAAAGGAAAGTAGTACATTCCCTTACATTTTCCTATCAATTTATCTTAGGTAACTGTAAGTTATAAAAGTAACTGGATAATTTCTTCTCGTTTTCTGCTTCAGCTTCTACAATCACATCTGAGTTTTATGACAAAACCTGACAAGAAACAACATTATACTTAAGAGAAATATTCCAAAGAAACCCTAAAACTAAATAATAAAACAGTACTATTTTCAGAGGACTTTTGGTGAATTTCCCAAAAGTTTCCACTTAGGGAACTTGTGGGGTTCTTTGTAATAATAAGAAACTGGATCCCTTTGTGGAGTGATCATTTCCCATCCAACACCTTCAAACAGACTAGGAAAAACAGGACAGTGAACGACTGATTTTGTTTTCTTTTTAAACTCCACCATATCAACATCAACTCAATACCCTCACAATAGCTTTGTGAGGTAGATCAGTCGATAAATAGCAAGTATCATCTTCATTTTGCAAATGAAGAAACTGAAGCAGCAAAAGGTTACATGACTTGCCCAGGGTATTCCATGGTCAATCATGAAATTACAAGCAGTATTAAATTATCTCTGCTCCTGGCCAATTTTGCTCTAACCACACTTCACAATAAAAGGCTGTGTATGTGTGATCTCAAATGGACACTCTATATGACCTTTGACTGAAAGTAAAATTTATCCATTGATAATTATGTTAAAGGGCAGCTAATCTCAAAAAATCATAAAAATTGAAGAAAATTAGATAAATAGGATGACATACTTTCAGTATCTGCATAGAACTGTGTCTTTACAAATTCACATGAAAACACTAAGTAAAGAGGAAAATTAAAATAAAAAATTATGATTCAGGAAGGATTACTTTCAAGAAACATATAATCATATTGTTAGAGTGACTATATAATTCATCTTCAAACTGGAATGCTTAAGAGTGAATGTGAGCACGGGACAAGTTCCCCTGGACAAGAGGTTTGTAACTGAGACTGCGTGGGCAAGTTCAAGTACAGTCACCACTGGGTGAACCTGAGTATGGGTCCTCGAAGATGTGCGAACATTTCAGGGACATAAAAACCTCTCTGTAAACATGTTTTGCTCCTTTATATTCAGTGAGTAATGTGATGATTTAAAATATAACACCTAACTCTGACTTAACCACAAAGGCTAAAAAATCAATTAAAAATAATTAGCATGTTTAAACCAATAAGTTATTACATACTAGAGGTCCAGTGCATGAAAATTCATGTACTGGAGTGGAGGTTCCTCAGCCCGGCCTGCCCCCTCTCACGGTCCGGGAGCCCTCAGAGGCAGGAGGCCACCTGGTGATCAGGGGAAGGCGATGCCCCATCACACCTCTGCAGCTGCCACTGCCGGCAGCGCAAGCCTCGGCCGGTCCTGGTTACCTGAGCCTCGGATGGCCCTGGGTGGCTGGGGGGCTGAGGGGACTAGGCACTGCCAACTTGTGGCTGTGGGCGCCACCATCTTTGAGGGCAGGGCAGTCAATTAGCATATTCCCTCCTTATTGGCTGTGGGCACCACCATCTTTGCGACGGCATGAGGGTCAATTAGCATATTCCCTCTTTATTAGATAGGATTTCCATTCTAATATATAAACATAACTCATTTTATTGTGCTATGCCTTATTGCATCCTAGAGATGTTACGGTTTGGGGTGTTGTTGTTTTTTTGTTTTATTTTTTTTACAAATTAAAGGCAATACCCTCCACCAGCAAAAACATTAGACTCACTTTACTGCTGTGGTCTGGAACCGAATCCACAATATCTCCAAGGTATGCCTGTAGTTTTCTGTTTGCTATAAACCACAATTTAAGTGTTATTAGTAGTAATAACAGAAAATGGATTCACTTTTTGCCTTTGAATAACCAGATATTCTTTTTCAAAAAGCATAAATACGCACCTTTAAATATTAGAGAATTCTGTGGGACTCTTTGGTTATTAAAAAACAACAACACTATTTACCATTATGTGTATGATTCTCCTTAAATGGAATAATCAAGACTTAAATCAACCTACTCAATGAGAAAGGTGGACACTTCTCTCTGAAATGAACATCTTTTACAAGGCATAACAAAGCACTGGCAGCTTCCAGTTACTACCAAAGACTAAGAATTACACTTCGCCCAGTTATCACACACGTGCTGCAGACACCAGCACTGTTGCTGAAGTCTAGTCTGAACTGTACATGCAAAGACCTCACCAACACGCATAAGAGCTGGAAAAGAACTTTTTACACCTACTTATGTCTGGTAAACAAGCCTTGTTTTACAACATGGGTTTTGTAAATATGGTTATCATGGTCTTCAATTCTTTGGGAAATACAAGATTAACATATTCTTTAGAAATAGCAAAAATGTTAATCAAAATAAAGTGGTATAATATTAGAGTTTGACTTAGGGCTTCCTTGGAGCTTTAAATCAACTTTCCTGAAAAAAATAATATGAAACAAATTGAACTACATGTTCTCAACACATACCGATCTTTATCATGAATTAAATCCCTTCATGAATTAACTGTACTCCAAACTAAGGCAGACACTTCAGGAATGGCATGTAATAAATTCTATTAGAAAAGATGATACTCTATTCAATGGAGCATGAACTATTACTAAGAAGTGATTGATTTTCAGTGTCTTTTGTTTATCACTGAGAGTACAGTGTACATTTTAGGGTATACAGATATTCATAAAGACTGAACTGATTGGCTTGGGTTAGTTATTCCATGAATTCTTTCAGACTTTAAACATCATCAAATATTCTGCTGCGCGACATCGAGAGGTATCGTCCACCAGGCTGATACCTGAAAGGTGGACAAAAATATGATCTGAGATCAAAATAATAGAGGAGAGAAAAACAAGGACACATTCAAAGGAAGTGACTAAATAATTTGTAAGCACTGTAATATCTATTCAGTAGCTGAAAGTAGAAACCTATTTTCCAAGGATATTATCCCAAAGGGATTTACTTAGTTATAAATCAATTAACAACTACCTGTTTAGAGCCTAGAATGCATGAATCACAGGCTGAGAGATGTAAAACACATTGTGGAACTTAAAGCATTTAATAACCACTCTTGAATGTTAAATGTAAACAGAATATCTTCATGCATATGATATTTTGTTTTTATCTATTTCCACATAGTATCATGGCTAAAAGCACAGAGTCTGTAGCCAGAGTCCTGGGGTTTGAATACCTGACTTTGCCATTTACAAGCTGTGTGATGCTAGGTAAGTTACTGAGCCTCTCTAGGTACAAATCTAATTGGATTTACACCATAAAATACAATATAATTGTAAAAGTGCTTAGAATAGTGTCTAACACCCAGTCATAGCGAGGAGGCTCTTGTTAAATATGATAAATGTCATAACTGAGATTGTCAGAAATAGACATTGTTAAGACTCTTACTATCAATGTGTAATGTCATTAGCAGTTTATTAAGATTTCAGTTATCATCACTGGATGCTATAATTTTAAAAATAGAAAAACATTAGAAAGTGTAAAAAGGCATCAAAGTTTGCTTAATATGCTTTTAAAAATATTTTTATTGCCCTAACCTGTTTGGCTCAGTGGACAGAGCGTCGGCCTGCGGACTGAAGGGTCCCGGGTTTGATTCCAGTTGAGTGCATGTACCTTGGTTGTGGGCACATCCCCAGTGGGGGGTGTGCAGGAGGCAGCTGATCAATGTTTCTCTCTCATCAATGTTTCTAACTCTCTATCCCTCTCCCTTCCTCTCTGTAAAAAATCAATAAAGATATATTTTAAAAATATCTATCTTTATTGATTTCAGAGAGGAAAGGAGAGGGGGAGAGGTAAAAATGATGTTGATCATTGATCAGCTGGCTCCTGCATGCCCTGTACTGGGGATCAAGCTCACAACCCTGGGCATGTTGACCGGGAATCAAACCATGACCTCCTGCTTCATAGGTCAACTCTCAACCACTGAGCAACACTGGACGGAATGAACATGCTTTTTTTAGTAGTAAAGATGAACATTTTCCTTATGTTTATTTATCTCATCAGGCCAGTATGTTACTAAGATTTCAGCGGCATGCTGGAGCCAACATGACACAGCTAGAACTTACCTTCCTGATTCAGATTCTAGAGGATCATCAGTAAACGCTTCTGCATTAAAATCCAAAGGTTCTACATCTTGTAGGAGTTCTATTCGATCCCTTTCAGTCCTATTATTGGCCCTCGTATATTTAGATGCTGCTGCAAAAGAAGAAAAAAGAATATGTTTATTTTTCTATTGTCTTTATGGGTCACAGTCTATGAACTCACAGAAAGAAAAGTCAAGATTATAAAAGATCTTGATTTTGATTGTGAAAATAGTATTAGAAAATGGTAACTACATGGTTCTTATAATCAGATTAAAATGATAAATGATATGATAGAAAACAAGGAAAAATTCACCCTTATCGCTAGTCCAAGCTCAGAAGCAGCTACAGTGCAAAGACTTAATTACTATGAGTTAATATTTAACAATACTATCATAACAGTAAAATTACTCATAATCAAATCAAGTTTCAGTTGGTTTTACAGTTGGTTTTACAGGGGCTGTGACATCTCATTTCTTGGCTAAAATTTTCTTTAAGGTATACTCAACTCCAGCTTTTTTTTTTTTTTATTGAATTTACTGGGGTAACACTGGTTAATAAAATTATACAGGTTTCAGGTATACAATTCTATAATACATCATCTTATATTGTATTATGTGTTACTTGACTTGGGGTGGTAAAAACACACTCAACTCCAGCTCTTTAAGAAAGGCCTGAACTATGTAATTTTATTAACTAATGTCACCCCAGTAAATTCAATAAAAAAAGAAGAAAAAAAAGAAAGGCCTGAATCTTTTCCCCAATAGGGCAGCAATGTCCAACCAAAATGAAATGCCAGCCCCATATTGGCTTTTAATTATTCTAGTAGCTACATTAAAGAAGTAAAATGAAACAGAGGAAATTAATTTTAATATATTTTATTTAACCAAATATATCCAAAATATTATCATTCATCATGGAGCACCAGCCACACTGCAAATGCTCGACAGTCACATGCGACTACTGGTTCCATCCTGGTCGGCACGGACCCTTGAGCGCTAACTCTCTGTCCTGCGTACTGAATGGGTTTTCTTCACTAACAATCTAAACTGTCACAGTGTAGCTCTGAGCAGCCCAAGAGCTACCATAGAGTTCTTTTTTATCATATCTTTCATTTTTGTCATCTTGGACTCAACCCGTCATCTTTTCTCTCATTCATTCAGCAAATACTGGTTGCCTACCACATGGCAGGGTCTCTCTAACTCGTCACCTTAACCTCTTAACCATTCTCCCACACTCTCAGATCCTTGCACTGCTGACTCCTATCCCATGGTAGGCAAGCTTCCAAATCTTTTTGTAAAATCCTCCCTCTATTTCTAGCTTTAACTAAACTTTAGCTCTTCCCTCTTCCTTCTACCCTAAGTGTCCTTCAAATCCACCCTTTCCTCTTTATCTCCAGGGTCTCTGCTCATTAGGGTCCCAATATCTCTGTAGCCTCCCCTCTTGTCAGGCTCCTCATACTTAGGCTCTAATCAGAGAAAAACTTGCATTTCCCCAAAGATTCTCTCCTGCCCCTCATTAGTCCTTCTGCACCTTTACCTGGCTAGAGTACTATTCATTTGTGAACACTCAGTTAAGTACTTCTTTATCACAGAAATCCTTTCTCAATAGAGAATTACTCCCACCACCTGAGCTGAGTTCCCTCAGCATCTCCTTAAAAACGGTGCTGGTTCTGCACAAACACAGGCTTCCCACCACCTTTCTAGGGGCAGATGGTAGGATTAAGGACGTAGGGAGGTTTCTTGACTCAACCCACTGACAAATGTCTCTGGCCTGGCATCAGTCCCTCAATACATTGTGAGCACCTGGGAAAGTGCCCGACATATATGGGCCAGTCAACTATTATAAACACTAGAGGCCCGATGCACAAAATTTGTGCTAGGGCCTCGGCCTTCGCCCGCCATGGCTTTGTCCAGAGAGATGGTTGGTCTAATTAGCATATTATGCTTTTATTATTATTACAGATGACTGAATTGAGGCTTAAGTCTACTAACAGAAAAGAAAAGAAAAACATCTAGCCTGGCTGTCTGGCTCAGTGGTTGAGCATCAACCTATGAACCAGGAGGTCATGGTTCGATTCCCAGTCAGGGCACATGCCTGGGTTGTGGGCTTGATTCCTAGTGTGGGGTGTGCAGGAGGCAGCCAATCAATGATTCTCTCTCATCATTGATGTTTCTATCTCTTCCCTCTTCCTTCCTCTCTGAAATCAATAAAAAATATTTTGAAAATAAAAACAAAAAAACATCTAGGTAAATAATGGAAATCTGTATCTGCCTTGACTATGCCTGGGATAAGTACTATTATTTAGGGTAGTACAATTACAACTGCTCATCTCTATTCCAGATGTCCCCTCCTCCTACCAGAATGCACATTTGAGGTACCCTCCCTCCGATACACTAGGGAACGGAAGCAGAAAGTCACTGCAGAAGCGCATTTCTGAACAGATGTCACCGTCCTCAGTCTACGCAGGCAAGAACAAGAAAAAACACACAGACAATAAACTACTCACATCGGGTCGTACTCATTTCTGAAAAATTTGACTCTTTTGGGTCAACATGAACATTTCTGTTTCTAGTGGAATCTTCTCTATTGTGTCCATATCGTTCTTTCCATTCCTAGGGAAGAAACACAGATGAATATATAACACAAGAACTCACAGGCAGAAAATATAATTTAAATATTTTCTTAAGAAATTCATCACATAATCAGTATAACTAGCATAGTGCCTTTAAAATCATAGGTCAATAATTTTTCTTATCTCTACATGATTTTAATAGTTTCCAAACTTAACTTTTACAAATGAATTTGCTAGCTATGATTGTTATTTAATTCTTCTATCTAAAATGTCAAAATAATATTACACCTACAATAAACTTATCTTGACAATGTAGAAGTTATGAGAACTCCTAATAACTAATGAGATGTTAACAAAATTTTCTTCCCCCTGAATTAACTATGAAATTAGAGCCTCTAAACACGTTTGACAGCAAAATTAAAGTTGTAAGCAAAGATAATTAGATAATGACTCACATGGCATTGTGTGTGGTCTGAACGTCGCTAAAACAATAGTAACTAGGAATCAACTCTTTAAATTCTTAGACTTGAAAGGGATGTGGGAGGTCACCTAATTCAACCTCCCATGCAGTGCAGGGTTTCATTCTAAAGTAGCCATGCAGATGCTTTTCGGCCCTCTTCCTAGGTGACATGAGATGTCTATGTATGATCACTCCTGGTAAACATGGAAATTCTCAGAAGTGAACTCCATCTCCAGTAACTTCCACTCCTTGGTTCTAGTCACGACTCCGAAATAAAGCCCAAGTCTCCTTTCTCACAACACACACTCAGCACGTGAAGACAACAGCATGTTTCCGCGCCTTCACCTCTCCAGCTCAGCACACCTACGTGCTGAAAATCTGTCGTGACTGGGACTAGGTTTTCTGATTGTTTGCCTTTTCACTCTCTAGGAGGCTAATTAGCCTCAGCAAATAGAAGACTGAAGAAAAATTAGAGATGGATAAAATTAGTGTCGTATTATGAAATGTATAATTTTAAATCGATCAAAGTTACTTTCATAGTAAGACTGCATGAATGTATTCATTCATTTAATAAAAAGTTATTTACTGAGCACCTACCTTATTCAAGACACTGCTAGATGTTGGACATGAATTTATCACTGATAACTTATTAAAACATGTCTGACAGGGCACCTAGCATGTGTATCTGAAACTAGTAAAATTACCTTTCTTTAAAAATGTATCTCACGTCTTTCCTAACTATTCTCTGGTCTCTAGCCAATTATTCTAAATCAGTATGATTTTTTTTGATATTTCACATCAATGTTTAGGTTACAGCAATTTAATAAGTACTGTACTTACTCTTCTTCGATTTTCACCTTCTTCTTGCCTTTGCCTTTTTCTCTTCTCTAGAGAAGAAAAGTAATTTCAAATTTGGTATAACATAACTTAATTAGATGCAGAGTAACTAAGTAAAGGTATCAGGTTATGACCAATTTCCTTTAAATTGCTACAAAGTCAAAGGTAAAAGGTTATGATGGAAAGGGCCTTAGAGATCACCTAACTCCACAGAGAACACCTTCTCTACTCTTGCTGAGATGGCTCTTTAGGCTGTCCAGTTTCAGTGAGAAAAAGTTCTTCTCCATGGTGACAGGAAATTTGCTCCTCTGTAACTTCTCTTTTCTTTATGTCCTATCTTCTAAATTAAGTTCATACTTCTTTCTACATAAGAGTCTTTAATCTTATTTTCTTACTAGAGGCCTGGTGCACGAATTTGTGCATGGGTGGGGTCCGTCCGGCCGGCCTGCCCCGATTGGGGCCGATCGGGGCTGGGCCGGCCGGGGGAAGGGGCCACAGGAGGTTGGCTGCCGGCCCCACCCCCAATCAGGGCCCAGTCAGGCCGGGCCAGCAGGGGCGGGGGGGGGGGGGGGAATCCCATGAGGGGCGGGGCTGGCCAGGGGGAGGGGCCACAGGCAAAGCAACCAGTCGTTGCAGCATTCCAGTCACTTGGCATATATATATATATAGCTTTTATATATATAGATATATATATAGATGGCTATATATCCAGTGGTTGCTTGTTGTTGTTTTTCTTTTTCCCATAAGATATGCTTTACAGACTCCTAATTCTGTCCTCTAAATACCTTCTGATTTACCATTCTTACTCTTGAAAGTCTTACCCGGGACTGGATATGATCCTCCAGACGCGGTCTAATTAATGCAAAAAGCAACAGAGCTATTACATTAACTAGACACCCCTTCCTATGAGAGCATGGAAGGCTACCCCAGCTTATTTTAGAGCCGCAACCAATTTTGGCGTATTCAACTAGTGATCACATAAAAGCCCAGTCCAGCCGTGGGCAAACTACGGCCCGTTTAAAATGAATAAAACTAAAAAAAAAAAAGACCGTACCCTTTTATGTAATGATGTTTACTTTGAATTTATATTAGTTCACACAAACACTCCATCCATGCTTTTGTTCCGGCCCTCCGGTCCAGTTTAAGAACCCATTGTGGCCCTTGAGTCAAAAAGTTTGCCCACCCCTGGCCCAGACCCAAGTAGGGAGAGTACCATTGTCCGAAAACTTAAGTTTTACTTTTTCTTTTTTCCTATCCTACCATCCCTTGAACATCAGGGAACTTGATGCATTCAGTTTTGAGATTAGATTCTAGTAGAGGGCCATATATTCTAACAGGCTGGTAATGATCACCCACCACATTCTAAAAACCACCCTTGGACTGAATGATTCCTATTCAGTCTTAAGCTGATAATTTTTTAAATTAATAAGCTTTACAGATGTACTAAACTTGCATATCTGTCTCAAAGCAAACCTAAAAATGACTCGAACACTGCACAAGGGCATTTTTTAGCTGCAGACATACTACATAATTTCTACTGCAAAATTTCCTAAAGACAGATGAGAAATCATTTATGTTTTCTAGTTATTTTTACTATGAAGACTTTATATAGGTTTTTAGCTAAAAATATTAATTTGCTATTTCCCAAGATAGAATAAATATTATAAATTAACAAACATTGCCGAAACCGGTTTGGCTCAGTGGATGGAGCGTCAGCCTGCGGACTGAAGGGTCCCAGGTTCGATTCCGGTCAAGGGCATGTACCTGGGTTGCGGGCACATCCCCAGTGGGAGATGTGCAGGAGGCAGCTGATCGATCTCTCTCATCGATGTTTCTAACTCTCTATCTCTCTCCCTTCCTCTCTGTAAAAAATCAATAAAATATATTTAAAAAAAAAAAAAAATAAATAAATTAACAAACATTAATTCTAATTCTGTATTTGGAGTCTTGCACTCTTCCTCCATTTATTTAAAAAGACAAATCTTTTTTTTCTTTTTTTAAAAATATATTTTATTGATTTTAGAGAGGAAAGGAGAGGGGGAGAGAGAAACATCTATGATGAGAGAGAATCATCGATTGGCTGCCTCCTGCACGCCCCCCACTGGGGATCGAGCCCGCAACCCAGGAATGTGCCCTTGGCCAGAATCGAACCTGGGACCCCTCAGTCCGCAGGCCGACGCTCCATCCATTGAGCCAAACCAGCTAGGGCTAAAAAGACAAATCTTACCTCGCCTGATTAATTCTTTTCCTTCATCAACTAAGTCTGAGGTCATATCATTATCTCCCATGAACTGCTGGAAACCAAGTAGATTCAAACAACGAGTTCCCAAACTAATAAAAAAAAAAGAGATTTTTTCATTATTTCACAGTGTAACTGTTTAGATAAGCTATTTTTTTAGTGCTGTCACCCTCAAAGAAGCCTATATTTTATTATTATCACAACAAGTTACATAAAGTTTCATTTGTCTTTAAGAAGTACTTACTTCCCTTTCTAAGGAGCTTATATGTCCAATAGTCCACTGACTAGGGTATGCCACATACCCAGATTTCTTAAGAAAACAAAGCCAGTTAGGCCATTAGCATATGTAAAGAAAAGTATTATAAAAGGATGCTAAACAATAACTATAATATAAAAGCAATTTATTATTTTCTTATATTCAAACAGCAACTTTAATACTACTGATTCCTTATATTTAAAATTTTATAGTTGAAAAAGCACTATCCCACCCACCTATTACTTGATACATATCATAACCTAATAAGGTAAGAAGAGAGGCTACTCTTACCAAAACAGCTACTAACATGAGAAGAAATAATTTGTACATCACAAGCTCTAATGTTCCATTAATAGTTTTAGAAACTTTTTAAGTGACTAAGCATATAATCAACTTAGTTCTGGACAGCCAAAGGATGACTGTTTTCTTCCTTAATACATGCTTTTCACAGTATAAACCTAAGTCTTTTCTACCTAACAGCAAAAACTCAAAACAATAGATTTATTATCAGTTCATATTAACTGTTATTTTAAATTATGGAAAGGTACAATATAGATGTTTTTAAAAATCCAATAGACAATTTATTTCACACAATATTGTCTATTTACTCATTATCCTAATGTGTTCATACATATTATCTGTAATAACCTTATAATGGTATTGGAAGATTTAAGTAAAAAGTCATGGGATGCAACTTATTTTTGTTAGAAAAGCAAACTGATTAACATCAATCAAACATTTTTTAAAAAGCAGCACCTGTGGTATGTCATGGAGCAGTGAAGAGGGTAGACAGAGTACAGGAGGAGGGCACCTAACATGTGGAAGCAGGGCAGACAGTGCTAGAAGCCACTGTCCTTTGAGTCTAGGTCTTACCTCTAAGAGTCTATCAATTCTGCTAATCCTATGAAAAGAGCAGCCCGTGTACTTCCCAGCCTTACACGTGCTGCCTGATTGCAGTCACTCTTCATTTGACCTTCTGGGCTGGCTATGATCTGAAGCATCTAGAAACCCAGGAATGATTATGGGGAAAGCCCTAAGCCCAATTTACGTTACTGGTCAGAAGCCGAGCATGGGGTGTTTTATAAGCTAATGGCCCGGTGCACCAATTTGTGCACATTGAAAAGTAAATTAATTAGAAGAAATATTTTAATATTGCTATTCACCCTTTCTCTATAATAGAAGTGTCAACCAAATTCACAATCGACAATGACAGATGGAAACACACATGTGCGATTGGTGCCAGCGAGAGCTTTATATGTATCACACATGCACGAGTCAACTTAGCCTTTTATAGATATAGAACAAACTTGCTTAATTAGACCTGCTTTCTGATTTAGCTAAACTTTTCCAGCTCAGTGAAGCACTCCAACTTCTCTTTCAGGTAATTGTCAGCAACACAGCAGTAAATAGCAACACGAAGAAGATTATTATTGTAGATCATGCAGGGAGAACAAAGAGTAAAATATTTAACTGCAGTAGTGTTTGACTATATTCTGTGCAGTGAGAAAACCTGAAGTCATTTTCAAGGTCCACCATTTCTTACTTTGACTCTCCGTTTTCCAGCTAATGAAAAGAAAATAGGATTCCACCGAGTCTCCTATCTACCTACTCCAGGACTTCTGTGAGGATCAAATGAGATGAGGCACGGGAAAACGCTTCACAGACATTTGGTTAAAGTGTGAAATGTTTCCACCTGACTATAAAGCAAGTCGTGTCCCTGGGCTGAAGAAACTGCAAGGAGGCTAGTCGCTAGGGAGAGGAAGCTGGGCGATGCTACATGATGTCATTACCCAGACGGACCCTTAGCATATTAGCCTTTTATATATATACTAGAGGCCTGGTGTACAAAATTGTGTGCGGGTATGGTCCCTAGGCCTAGCCTGTGATCAGGGCCATCTTCCCCGGCTGCTGGCAGCCAGCCCTGCCCCCCGCTGCCACCCACCCCGGTTCTCCGTTTGCCATCAGCGATGGGACCCTGCTGACCGGGGGGAGAGGCCAAAAGGTTGCCTGTTCCGCCCGCTCGCCAGTCCCGCCCCCGCTGTGGGTCGCCCTCTGTGTGTGGGGTGACCAGTGGGGCAGGGACCTTGGCCTGGAGCCACCCACATCCCCCACCACTCATCCCTGAGTCCTCATTCACCATTGGGCGATGAGAGCCTGCCAGCTGAAGAAAGGGACCAAGAGGTGGAGAGTGCACCTCATAGTGACTGGTCCAGCGGTCATTCTGCCATTATGGTTGCTGGGCTTTTATAATATAGGATACTTGGCTGTCAGTGTCGAAGGCCAGGGCTTCAAGTTAACACTCTGTAATTAATCCTAACACTTTGTAGCCTAAGTATTTGTAATGAATAACTCTACCTCTCTTTTCCTGAAAATATCTTTGGAGAAAAAGCCTTACTTCATCACTCAAGCAATCCCTTTAAACTATCCCCAACATCCCCAAAGCCACAATAAAACAAACAACAACCAGAACCCAAGCAATAAATATTTAAAAGAGTTGTAAGAAGAAAGGATACCCAGATAAGGCTAAGAGTATGTGGGAAAAGAAATGATGTTAAGTTTCTTACCTAAAATAAGTAGCAATGCAGAGAATTACTACCAGCATAGGATAATATATATAGAATCCATCTGCAATAAAGGATAAAACTTTCATGGAACCCATAATCTGAAAAGAAAGAAAAAAGTAGAAAAAAATGAGCTAAATTAGTACAGAGTAGTCCCCCTGATATTTTATTTTTTTCATCATTAGAGAATTCACACATAGCCAGTTATATAAATAAATACGGGCTTTTGAAAAAGTATAAATAAAGCACTAAATGAACTGATTTTTAAATTCTTATCACAAGAAAAGAAATTGTTACTGAGGTGATGAATGTTAACTAAATTGACTGTATAATCATTTCTCAATATATGTATATTTCAAACCATGATGCTGTACAACTTAATCTAATACAAAGTCATGTGCTGATTATATCTTAATTTGCTTACGTAAAAAGGTTTTCCTCTAAAGAAAGTTAATATTTTATAAGCATTACTGAACATTATCATATACATTAAGACTAGAGATATAGAAGTCACTATTATAGGTCAAGTCTATTAATACTACCAGCTAGATCAGCCGTGGGCAAACTACGGCCCGCGGGCTGGATCCGGCCCGTTTGAAATGAATAAAACTAAAAAAAAAAAAAGACCGTACCCTTTTATGTAATGATGTTTACTTTGAATTTATATTAGTTCACACAAACACTCCATCCATGCTTTTGTTCCGGCCCTCCGGTCCAGTTTAAGAACCCATTATGGCCCTCGAGTCAAAAAGTTTGCCCACCCCTGAGCTAGATGATCTATGTAAACCAGAAAACACTTTTTATAATAAAAGAAAGCAAAATCACTTTCATCCAGTCACTAGTAATTATATATATAACATTTAAAAGACAGTTTTAGTTATTTTAAAAAGATCCAAATAATGCTTTAGAACTTTTCTGAATTAAAAATTTTATCAGTAATAACATCCCATATAGACAATGAATCTAAAGAACTCTGCTTGCTGGCCATACTTACAGATGTATAAGCAGTTGGTTGCGTATTCTGGTGAGAGATGGAGGAATCCATATGGGTCAACCCCAAGAAATTAAGACATAAAGGAGGAGTCAAACGGCAAAATAACCTGCAATAAGCATTTATAAACAGAATATGTAAAAATAAAGCAGCAAAATACATTTTATATTATATTGGAATGTACTGAGAACATTTCAGATCATTGTAACTATTACTTTCATCTATCTGTATTATATATCTTTTGAATTATTAAAGTGAAACTCCCTTACTTACAAGATATTCTGAACATACTATTAATCACATCTTCCTTAAGAATATCAACACCTACAAGGCAAAACTCCAGTCTCAGGCTGCCTGCTTTGGTGGTGTTTGCCGCTGCTTTATCGCAAGAACTGGTGAAGTGCCTTTGGATGCACCTCTTCCAAGTCTACCATCTGTGCCATCTCAGCAGCATGACGAGGACGGTAACATCCTCAAGGTGAACGTGCTCATATATGAAAGATCTGAAGCTGTATCAAAGTACGCCACTCTGGCAACTTAGGTATAAAGAACTGTTAGAGTTCAAGCTGTTCAGATAAAAAGAGAACCTTACAGAACTACAGAGTTGAAGAGAGGAGAGAGGAAAATGAAGGGAGAGAGAGTGAAGGGATTAAGAAGTACAGGTTGATAGTTATAGAATAGTCACAGTGATGTAGAGTACAGCATGGGGAATATGGTCAATGTTGTAATAACTACATGTGGGGCCAGGCTGTACTTGTAATATCAGGAGGACTGCTCTGTAGAGTACACGATTATCTAACCAGTATGCTATAAATCTAAAACTAACACAGAATAATATTGAATGTCAACTGTAATTGAAAAAAAGAGAGGTAATATGAGGAATGTGGTGATAAAATATAGTGTCCCCAAAAATGTATACACACACTTTCAGAATTATAAAGGCAGTGTTTATTAAAATACATTTTATTTTCAAAATTGAGCTATCAGCTGTTAAAATGTATATACTTCTTTTTGGGGGCGGGGTGTGGGGGTGGATCACCCTGTAGTTGTGGTTATAGGAATCTATACACACACACACACACACACACACACACACACACACAAACACACACGAATAAAGGATAAAAAATAGTGAGAATTAAATAAGGTCTGTTGTCTAGTTAGTAGTAATGTATAAGTGTAAATTTCCTGGTTCTGATATTGTAGAAAAGCTACAGAAAGCGTCCCCACTGGGGAAAACTGGGGAAAGGTTGATAGGAGAACTCTTTGTATTATATTTGCAAGTACCTATGAATTTATAATTATTTGGGTAAAAAAGGTTAACAAAAAAGTCTTAGAGATACTTTCTTTATTGATTCCTCTGCAAACCTGTCTAGTCCAGCCCTTATGAATATCCAATATAACTAATTTAACAACATGGACGAATAATAGATTGTGCAACCTAGCCCAAGCTAAAGCTCTCTCTCAAAACTCTTGCTAAATTTCTTGGCAAAAATGATTCCTGTTGGTTTTCTCAGTCCTCTACACTTCAGTTTGAGGCCACTGAATCTCAGAATACCCCCTAGGTCTGATTTAGTCTCTAAACTCTCTCATGTTCCTATATTTTCCTAATCTACTTATGCAATCTCTAATTGGTAAGTCCAGGTTCACCACGTCTTTCTTTTTCATCCTAATCTAGCATCCCCATTTTAACCTGAACCTTCAAGCAGTATTTACCTAGCAATCAACAAATATCTACTTAATCAATTAGCTCAGAGAAATACAGATGTTAGTGGAAAACCCATAAGCAAGAAATAAAAGAGAACTCAATAAGGATGTATGCCATAAAGACATTTCCCTTGTTTCTAAATACAATCTACTTACATGCCACTGAAAAGAAGGCTGTAAGCATCGGTCTGGTGATGTGAAGCCAAGTAGTAATAGTTAAACACACGAATCCTGAACACAGTAGAATAAACACAGATACTTAGGAAGAAGATGGAAAGGAAGCAAGCAATCTGAAAACAAAAAACAAAAACAGATTAAGACCCATGGACTGTATACCCTGCACAACCTTATCCTTTATTTCTGGCTAACATTTGACATTCTAAAATTTAAATACTGTAACAAATTTTTTAAATATATTTTTATTGATTACAGAGAGGAAGGGAGAGGGAGAGAGATAGAAATATCAATGATGAGAGAGAATCACTCATCGGCTGCCTCCTGCACACCCCCTACTGGGGATCGAGCACACAACCCAGGCACGTGCCCTGACCGGGAATTGAACTAGGGACCTTTCAGTCCGCAGGCCAACACTCTATCCACTTGAGCCAAACCAGCTAGGGCTACTGTAACAGATTATTTTTTAGCTACTTAATAAAACAAAAGTATGTGAAAAATTCTACATCTCAACCATTTTCACATTTTATCCCTAAATTTCAAATCCACCTCCTGAAATGAGCCTGCTCTCCCATTCCCTGGGCAACTCCCTCACATGATGACTATAAGCTATGTAGCTTCGCTGGCATAAAAAGGATGCAAGTATTCCCAAAAGGGTATTTTGCACTAGTTTGTATCTTGTCATCTGTCCTGAGATACAGTTCTTAGTTTTTATGGTCTGGGTCAGTGGTCGGCAAACTCATTAGTCAACAGAGCCAAATATCAACAGTACAACGATTGAAATTTCTTTTGAGAGCCAAATTTTTTAAACTTAAACTATACAGGTAGGTACACTGTTATTAACTTAATTAGGGTACTCCTAAGGCTTAGGAAGAGCCACACTCAAGGGGCCAAAGAGCCGCATGTGGCTCGCGAGCTGCAGTTTGCCAACCACGGGTCTGGGTAAATTGATGAAGCTCTTTTTTGGAAATGTAAATTAATAACTTCACTATTTGCATTATTGCTAGAAGAAATATATGGAGAAAAGATACTACAGTTAAGGGTTATACTATGAATGTACAATTATTAATAGCAGATACAAACTGACCTCGATATAAATATAATTGTATGTTTTTTCAGCCAGCTGTATGAAGACTGCAAAGAGGGATAAGACAGGCGTCGTGCTAAAGAACGTGCACTCTGACCACACGACAATCACAGAGAAGACAGACAAAACCACAGCCAGTATTCTGTAAAACCATGGTCGCAAAAGACACTCCCAGTACCACTCTGGAAGAGAAAAGAAGAAAATTATTACAGAAACCATAAAGGAGTAATGGGGTATTTGCATTGTTTCAAAATATCTCCATATAAGATACACAATTGCAGAGAAGAAAACAGTAGTTTTACAGTGGAGGGAGCAGGCAGACACCACCCAACCGAATGATCACCAATAATGGGACCAACATCTCAGGTGCCTCCTGCTACGAAGCATGATGAGAAGACAGTATCACTGCTGCAGTGTTCCTGCCAAAATTACAGAACCGCATCTACTCATGAGAAAACTTCAAACTCAAACCCAGGGACTGGAAAAAACAAAACTGGCCTGTGTTCTCAAAAACATCCATGTCACAAAACACAGACGGAACCTGCTCCTGAGTAAAGGAGACGGAGGACAAGACAACTGACTACAATGCCCGACCTGATTTTGACCATTGTACTTGGTTATGTAAGAAAATGTCTTTATTTATATATAAAAAAATACACACAGAAACATTTCTGGGTTAAAAGGCATCATGTCTGGATTCAACTTTGAAAAGATTAAGGAAAAATATATACACAGAGAGAAAGAGAAAAGAAAATAATTATGGTCAAATGTTAGCATGTGGAAAATCTGGGTGAAGGGTATATGGAAATTCTTTGTTAATATTCTCGTAACTTTTTGTTAAATCTGCCTTTAGGTAAAAATGAAAGTTAAAAGAAGAAGAAGAAAGCTCACAAAACTGAAAAGGCTGCATTTCACTTCATTCATTGCACGTTGAGTTTCTGGCTCACTCTAGATCTTTTCAACCCTGTTCCCAGCATAATTAATTCCTGGTGATTTCCACAGCCACACGGGCGATACTCCCTTCAAAACTCTGGTCTTCCACTTCCTTCACCTCCTCTCCTCCAATGATTCTGTCCTCCACCCTACATCAACTGCTCATTCTCCAAGCCTCTGACTGCCAATAACCCCAACCCTCCCTTGTAATCTCATTACAGCATCCCTGTGTCCAAGCAACGCCTTCATCTAGTATTCCAACTCTATTGACGGTCTCTGCCTGGACCAACAGTCCATTTATTCTATCACTTTTTCATTGCCACTTAACACCTGATGTCCTTTATTGCTTTCTTTATCAGCTCAGACTCCAGTCTTTGAGGCAAACCATTCCCCAATGTCCCAATCCTTTTGCTTCCTCTTACTTTCTTATACTTGCTGAACTAGGCCATGCCCTGGCTACCAACCCCGTGGCTACCCTGAGCCGGCACCTGTGGAGCGGGTCACTGAAGGAGGAAGTCACACACCTTTGTTGGCTCACCTCACTTTAAATTCTTAATCACCAGCTTCAAGTGGACCCTGAACACTGCCTGGCTAGCCTACTGCAATCCACCAATTTTCTCCATGCACAGTCTCCTAAGCAACTATTCTGCACCTTCTCTTCTCTCCTCCAAAATCTCTTACTCCCAGAACTTCACTGGCAAAATAGAAGCTGGCCAAAGAAGACCTCCCCAGGTCCCACCGTTACATCTTCTCATCTTCTCAGGTACATCTGTGCCTTACCTAAGGCCCTTCTCTTCATTGCTCACTGTTTCCATTTCATCTCCCCTGCACATGAACACTGCCCCCACCATTCTCTTCTGTCTCCTCAATTCCCTTAGATGCCATTCACAAATGGCGTCTATAATATCTCTTGACCCTGCCATCCTCCCTTGGCTACTACCTCTTGTTTCTATTCCCTTTTATGAGAGTTTTCTATTCTTACTGTTCCTACCTGCTCTCCTTTTTATTTTTTTTTTAAACTCCAATCTGGCTTTTTATACCCTTACCCGACCTCACCTCTCTGAAATGCAATGGACAAGTCTTAGTATTCATGATACCTACCTGCAACATTTGAAAAGGTGCTTTATATACCCTTTTCCTCAAAAGACTTCACTGTCCTAGTTTTCCAATCTCATCGGCCACTCCGTTTCTAGTCTGTTCTGTGGGCTCCTCATCATCAACCCGATGCCTAAAGTCTGGAATGCCTCAGGCTCGGGCCTCAGACTATCTCTTCTCTCTCCCATCACTTCTTCACTGATTTATCCCCACCCATGGTCCACCTACCCATTAGTGACCCTCTCATTTATGTTTTCAGACCAGACTTCTGCTCTGAACCCTGATTTCTATAGCCAACCACTACTCAGCATTGTATTTATATCTTTATGTGTATATTGACTGTTTTTCTCATTCCACAAGGGCAGAAATTTTTATCTTTTCTATTCATTTGATATATATCAAGCGCCCAACAATACATAGCATATATGAGTTCAAATATTTGTCAAATGAATAAAAACAAGTGTCACATCATTCCCTCATTTAATTAGGAAAGATCTTCATTGAAGAAGATGTCTGAGAGATTCCTTATGACCACCATTATGTGTTCATACTGAAAACCAAACATACAAAAGAGAATCAAGTGAACATAAGCATCTATTTGAATATCTAAGGTAAACAGAAGTTTTAATACCATGACACTGGTATTTTCATTAAATTCTTCATATTAAATTTGATAACACTGAAGAAAGTGTCATAAATAATCATAAAGGAGGATAGAATAATTATGCTTATTGAGTATAGGTTTTAAAAACAGATTAATAAATGTAAATAATCAAAGAGTACTTCTGACAGGAATGTTTTTTGTAGTATGTCAAGATTGAAGGAGTGACTCAAGTTTGTGATGTGAAATTTCTTAGAATTCTAATTAAGTATATATTATATATACAAAATTTGCTTGATATAGCACACATATTTTTGCTAGAATTTTGGTTATCTGTGAAGTAACAGTGCAAAATGATAGATTATATGTCAAATGAAAAGTAAAATAGTTTTCTTTGGGGGGAAAGTTTACCAGATACATAATATTACCACCTGGCGTAAGTCAAATAATACAAATATAATTCAACTTCACATTGGTGAAAATATATACATTTTTTCTTCAGAAAAATTATCATCATTAAACTTGGAAATTTATATCAAATTACATACCAACTGCAGGACTATAAAAATACTGGACAAATCTATTTTCCGGTTCTGGTGATTGAAAGGTGTGAACAAACTGATGAGTAGCACTAGTTTCATTTTTTGCTACATCTTCTAGATAAAATGCTTGTTCCAGAAGGATCTGCCATTGTACTTGAGTTCGACGGTGCCTCTGAACTGAGTAAATAACCTAAGAGAGAGAACAGGGGTATGTCTGTCAGTGTTCTGATCCAACGGTGTTCAACTCCCCGTTAAGGCAAGTTTTGGTTGTTACAACAATGAGAAGTGCTAGTGGCATTTCCTGGATGGGGCCAAGGAAGTTAACATTCAGTAGTATAGGTAACAGTTATGTTCAGTGAATAATTCTCCCTTATTTTCTGTGGGCAGTAATTATAAATCTGACCGAAATATCATTAAGTAATATAGCTTTAATTAATAAAGTTACCTGTTTATGTAATTTCACCAGACTTTTTTCACTCGGATAGGTATTATGCTTTTCATCAAAATCTTCATAATCATCCATGTTCCTACCCATTTTTTCCTGATACTCTGTAGGGCACTAAAGGGAACAAGTAGATTTTTTAAAATCTTATTTGCAAAAAGATAAAAATTTTATTTTTATTAAAAATCTTTTATTCTGAGGCATTTCTAATTTTAATTTTCTCAAAAATATCTTCCTTTATTGTCATTTCTAAATAGTTGGAGGTTTTGTTGATAACATTTTTTTAAAAAAATGTTTTAAAAGATGCATTGAGCCCTGGACAGTGGCTCAGCTGGTTGGAGTGTTGTCCCATACACCAAAAGGCTGTGGGTTCACTTCCCAGTCAGGGCATTATACCTAGATTGCAGGTTCCATCTCCAGTCGGGGTGCATACAGGAGGCAACTGATCAATGTTTCTCTCTCACATTGTTGTTTCTCTCTCTCTCTCTTAAAAAAAAAAAAAAAAGATGTACTGAGTTTATTCTTACCTCTATTAATATTAATCTTTGTGCTTAGAAAAACTAGCTGGGGATGAGTAAGACAGAGGAACATTGCCTACACGAAGCACCTAGTATTTAAAAGGATCTTTCTAGGTAAGCACCTAATGAAACTGTCAGTTATTTTCCCAGCTAAATAACGAAGAAAAATCATAACAAATCCAAGATGTTGAATTTTTGAAAAGAATGGTAGAGAGAAAAAAATACATGCTTTAGAGTTATCTGCTCTGCTATTAGTCATCTATTATCTATACGAACTTGGACAAGTTAGTTAACTTCTCTGAATAGGTCCCAAAAAGTATCAAATATGAGAGAAATGATTAGAGAATTGATTTTCATGACTAGTATCTTAGCCAACAGAACACTAGCTAATACTCAGTATAATAAATTTAACGTATAGGAAAAGAGATAGTTCAGTGATTCTGTAGCTGTAGAGAAGGTATTTGGGGAACTTATGTGTTGAATAATCATTTTTGAAAGTACATGAGTACTCAGTGCAATAACAATACAGTAAAATCTTAATTGTGTGGCTTCTTATATAAATATCATGTTAAATATCTCCTAATGTCATTTCTTTTAGGAAGCTGATCAAAACAGATTATTAAGACCCTCACTTACTTTCTTACAGGAGATATGCCTTTAGTGACCACATTCAATGACACTTCATCACTGTGCTACAGCAGTTGTTTGTCATACATTACTAAATGTAACCTCTATATCCACATTTCAAAGCAAAACATTGCAAATAATTAATGTTAAACTTGTAATGCAAAGGAACAAATTCTATGTACACATTACTACTGATTTATGGTCAGTATTTCCATGAAAATGAAAAGCAGTTGCAAAGACTTCAGTCATAGGCTGTTTCCATACTTTCCTGATGTTTTTATTATAAAAAGTTATATTTCAAAGGAAAATAGATGCCTATATTAATTACCTTTTTAAGTATTGTGTCAACACATTTTCTCAATGGGTGGTTATACTTGATGCTTTCACTCACTTTACGAACCTCCTGTACAAATAGTGAGGAAAAATGAAAATATTTCCATTTTTATACATTGGCTGTTTCAAATCAGAATGCTCTAGGTACCATATAAATATATATATTCTCATAAGTTTAACTTCAACTCAAAGTATTTAGCATTTACATGAAGCTCCACGCACTGAATAAAAGTTCTTAAGAACACAAGTAAAAATACATACAAAGTTATACGAAGTGGGGCAAAAGTAGATTTCAGCTGTGAGTTTAATACAATAATTAATTAATAATAATACAAAAACTGTTTCACATACTCACAACTGTAAACCTACTTTTGCTCCACCCAGTATAATAGTTCTCTGTATATCCTCACACTTCCTATTATCTTCTAGGTTTACTCTCTTATCATTTTCTTACTTGGCACACAAAGATGGATAAACATCATAAAAAAGTCACGAAGGATCAAACAAACTTTGCAGCCCTGAAAGAATAGGACTATGCTCCTTTACCTTGCTTATCAACTTAATTATCTCATCATCTAAAATACAGTGAAGAAACCAGAGGCAGCAGAACAGGTCCCGATGTCACAAAGCACCCACTCCTTTCCAGTGGGAGAGCACACAGCTCATGTTTCACCCATGTCTGTCTATCAAGAGCACACTACAGGCCAGCACTGTGCAATGTGTAAGGTCACCACATCCCACACCAGAGAGTGGGGTGGGAAGACATGGCGTCATAGCTGTTTGACTAAGATCAGAGTCTAGTGATAAAATAATTAAATAGCCGAAACCGGTTTGGCTCAGTGGATAGAGCGTCGGCCTGCGGACTGAAGGGTCCCAGGTTCGATTCCGGTCAGGGGCATGTACCTTGGTTGCGGGCACATCCCCAGTGGGAGATGTGCAGGAGGCGGCTGGTCGATGTTTCTCTCTCATCGATGTTTCTAACTCTCTATCTCTCTCTCCCTTCCTCTCTGTAAAAAATCAATAAAATATATTTAAAAAAAAAAAAATTAAATAAGCAATTTTATGAGTATGAAAGGCATAAAGGGGTTAGGGAAAGGAATCTTTAGAACCAATAGTTCTAAGAGAATCATAATATTCTATAATTTTAATAACATTTTGTAAAAGTTGGAACCACTGTTCTAGATAGAATAAATAGCATGTACAAAGGCTGAGAATCAAGGAAGAATCAAGCAGAAAATTAAAAAGAACATTCTGATTGTTGGGTAGAGAATGGCCTTAAGGGATACAATACCGGAAGCAGGAAAACCATCTGGCATATAAAGTTATGAAAAAATATTTGTGACTTATATGACAAAAATTACTATCATTAATATAGGGAGAGCTCTTGCAAATCAACAGGAAAATGGAAGAATGCAGAAGAAATGCAATAGGCTGATAAATGCCGGAAAAGATATTCAAGCTCACTAAAAACAATTATGAATTTTAAAATGAGAATGATTTTCTCACAAAAATCATAAAAAAATGTGGGGAAACCAGCCCCCCTATACACAGTAAAATGTGGGAGGTAATTTAGAAACACCCATCAAAACTTTACACATGCAGACCCTATGAATAATCCATATCGAAGGACACTGCTTCTGTCAAGCTTAATGAGCTTGAAAACGCATTATTCAAATAGGAATGGTGAGGAGACTGCTGTGTAATTTATGATGGACTGATTATTACATAAGAAGCATGAGTAGGAGTCAGCCCATCAAAGGAAGGGGCAAGGATATTCCACACAGAGGGACAGCATGTACGGAGGTCTTGAAGCAGAAAGGAGCAGTTTCAAGGAACCAGGAGTCCAGTGTGGCCTCGGGGACAAGAAGAGTGAGGGCCTGAGAAGCACTGGGCCGGCTGAAGAGTGACTCCAGCAAAGCACTTCTTGGTGTCCTCAATGACACTTTATTTTGAGATCAATGAGTAAGGGTTAAACACAGGGGTAACGAGATGAGACTTGGGTTTTTACAATTTTTCATTACTACGCTGCCTTAAAGTTTTCTTGACTTGTTATTAAAACTTGAATATGAACTAGTTATATATTTACATCTGAAATATTACATATTTCCTTTACATTCTTTCATCATATTAAATCAAAATAAGTACTGAAACAGTTAACTATGGATATTTGCTATATTTGTTACAGAAGTAAGTTTCCTTCAAAAGTTTATAATTTTTACAAAGTGTGGAAGGGATTTGAAATATTAGCTTATTTTCTTCACATAAAATAATGTAACTTTGAGCTCCATCATTACTGTGCCTAATCGATTCTTTACTATGCAGGCCAGACAACATGCATGAAGTCAGGCTAACAGGCAATTTTCAGCAGAAATAAGTAGCTATTTTTCCCTCTCCCAAATCCGCTTCCTTGAAAAATGACAAAAGGTAGAAGTGACTTCTTTGGTCAGGTAGCAAATACCCTTTGAATAGTTTGACATGGCTTATAAATTTTATTAATGCATCAGAGAATAGACATATGGATGTAGTATACATTCACTTCAGAGAGAAACATAAAAACACTAAACGGGTCTTTATAAAACTGCATGTGGAAGATTTTATAGGTAGCTGAAAAATATAATCACTAATTACAAAAAAATAGGTGACTGAACTTTGTGGTCTGTTATAACATGTATTCAAACCAGTGTGCTTTCCCTCCAAGTACACTGCACGTATTCATATTCTTGTTCCATGCTCTACTCTGCACACCTCCACCAGACTGACCACCCTACACCACAGGATCGTGTCTCCTCCCTGCTTGCGAGGTGCAACGATTCCTTGCTGCTTTCAAAATATGGTCTGGACTTTTCAGTGTGACAGTCAAGGCCCCGCTACTTGGCAACAATGTGTTTTTCAAACCTTACAAGCTTTATCTTTCCAACACAAACCTTATGCTCAATTAATGTGGTTTTAAAACCTCGTGATATCTTGACCAGGATGCTGCCAGTTATAGAATATTCTACCCATCCTTCCTGGCCCAGCTCATATTTCACGCCTCCTCTGATCACGATTCAGAAGTGAGACCTCTCTATACTAGAGCATTTCCTTTGTATAATTCACATCACATTCACCATCTATAATAATAAAAGCATAATACACTAATTAGACCGCACATCCTTCTGGATGACCTTCCAATAAAGCCAGGGCTGTGAGGGAAGCCCGGGTCCTGGGTGCCTGCCGGCAGCCGGGGGAAGGAAGGCCTACTCTTGCACGAATTTCGTGCATCGGGCCTCTAGTATAATATAAAGGACTGTACAGTTCTCCAACGCTAGATAGTTAGTATCCTAATGGAGAATGAAGTAGGAATTAGCTGAAGAGAGTGGAGAAAAGAGCATTGCAAGAGCTTGGGAATAATGTGTTCAAAGAGAAAAGAGGCAATGAACGCAGTGGTTAAGAGTAGGGGTCAGAGGCAGGCGTGGCTGGCATGGCTCAGTGGTTGAGTGTCAACCTATGAACCAGGAGGTCATGGTTTGATTCCCTATCAGGGCACATGCCCAGGTTGTGGGCTCAATTTCCAGTAGGGGGCGTGCAGGAGGCAGCCGGTCAATGATTCTCTCACCATTGATGTTTCTATCTCTCCCTCTCCTTTCCTCTCTGAAATCAATAAAAATATATTTTAAAAAATAAAGAACAAAATTTAAGTCTAACATCCAACCATGTGCTAACAACAAGAACAACAAACTAACTGTTATCCAAAAGGAGATGCAGCATGCTGTGGATTGCAAGGTTTAAACTTCTTACCTCCATGACATCTTCTAAAGTCTCTTCTGCATCTGCTTTCTCTGTCATCAATTTGGCTGCCTTAAAATACGTTTTCATCAGTAGATAACCTCTTTTTGCTCCATTCCAGTATGACCGAGGGATTTCCACCAAGCCATACCCCAACAATAACACAAGAAGAAATAAACCCCATGTGTTAGCAGCAGCGATCCCAATCGTCTGAAGCTGGTTCCTAAGAGGACAGAAGCAGATAGCTGTGATAAATTTTCAACAAAACAGTAGAATGAAACTAACTAGTGTTAAATAGTTTTTCAGAGAACAATTACCCTAAAGGATGGCTAACATTTTATATGAAAAAATTAGACCTTCAAATCCTCAACTAATAGTGGATGTTATTCCATATTTTTCTTCTTAGTAACATGGATTATTCAGATATTCTTTTTGAGGAATCTATAAAGCACATAATTTGTTATGTTTCTTGATGAAATGTGTTTACACCTACAAATATGAGATAAAAATTTTATAAAATGGAAATACACACAGAAACAATGTTTCTTACCATTCTAAGTGCAAGTGTGGGTTTACAGCTACATAAATTAGAAATGCTCCAAAAATCAGCAAGTAGGTGCCATAATAGATCGCATTCTCAATCAGTGCGGTTTTGATCTTTCCCGTGATGGAGAACCCTCCTGATCTTGCATATGACTGCATAAAAGGTAAGAGAATCCTAGACAGTTGGAAAATATATGATTAAAATCACTTGATATGTCTTTGTAATTTCCAATACCAGAAAAATGTGAATCTTAATTTTAGTGTATAGTTCTTTTCACAAATATGATTTTGAGTAATTATTAATACCAAACAAACATGAATATTTTTGTAATATTAAATATGTGGGAGAACAGAGCACATTCCTGGCAACAACTGAGGCCAGAGTAACCAGCAGAAGATATAACAGTGAGTGATTTATGATGAGTCTAATACAAAGGCTTGAAAGCCTTTATGAAGAGCTTGGACTACATCCAAAGAGTAAAGAGCAACCATTTTCTTGAACCGAAAGGAGACATGATCAAATTTAGTTTCCTAAAGACTGATAAGGCTTCAACATGCAGAATGCACTTAAGAGGAACAAAATTGGAACTATTTGTGTGGTAAAGAACAGGAGAGGAGAAGACTCGTTGTCAATACACTGATTTTGAAGTTCCTAGGACACATCCCCAAGGAGCTGCACAGGAAGTAGTTGGCTATCCAGCTTCTTAATTCAGGAGCCAGGATTAGAAATACAAATAGATTCAGAGTCCTCACCATATCAACGGTACTAAAGTAACATCAGTACATGAGTTCTGGAAGGGCGAGTATGGAGACTGAGGAGCAAAGGACCGAAGCTGACCCCTGAGCAATACCTAGTTTTAAAGGAGAGGTAGAAAGGCAAGAAGAGGGGAGGCCAGCAAAAGAGACTCAGCTAGAACAGCAGAAAGACATGAAAGAAAACCAAGAAGTATGTATGGTACAGAAACCAGGAGAAGCACGTTTTAAAGTGGAGAGAAAACAACAGAATCAAATGCTGCCAAGAGGTCAGGAAAATTAAGAAATGTGTGTGTGAGTAGAAAAATGGGGGCAGAAAAGAGCTCAGTGAATTGAGGAAAGAGCAAGCAGTGAGCAAATGGAGGCACTAAATCAGACAATTCATTTAAGAAGTTTGGCTGGGTAGGATAAACTATGATATACTCATAAAATGGAATAGTTTATAGAAATGAAAAAGAATACTAGTACACATCACACAACAGAAAAGAATCTTCCAAATATATAAGCAAAATGAGAAGCAAAACGTATACTGTATACTTCTGTTTCTAAGTTCAAAAACAGGCAGAACTCATCCATGGTGAGGGAAGTCAGAATCATGGTTCTCTTCGGGAGGGTAAGCCTGGGAGGGGGGAGGGGTATGAGGGAAGCTTCTGGGGACTTGGGCAATGTTCTTTATCGTCATCTGAGTGCTGGCTACACGGGTGTGTTCACTTTGAAAAAAAGTCAAACCAAACAAAACCTGTGCAGTTTTCTACACTAATTTATACTTCAATTACACAGTCTCCAAAAACATATAACTGTTGTAAGGAATAAATCATTGAGGTGGAAGATAGAAAGTTGGAGAGGGTTGGGATTTGAGAAACTTTTTTGTTGTTTTTTTTTTATTTGTTAAGGGTGAGAGAATTGTGCATGCTTTGCCAAGCACAGGTGAGTACAGGTAACAGGAGCTGGAGGGAATGGGTCCATATTTCAGGAAGAGGGATTAATGTTAAGAGTGGGGAAGGAAGGAAGGATGGGGAGAGAGGTGGGTACATTTGTTGGTGAGAAGCTAAAAGAGCTGCCATCTGATGGCTTTTATCTTTACTAAGAGGTTGACAGTAATGATGGTCAAGGAGAGAAGGTAATGTTTCTACGATATGAGAGAGTCACAGGGGAACAGCAGAGGCTGGAAATGACTGGAAAGATCTGTTGTGGGAAGAAGAGCAAGCAGACTGGAGAAACAAAGGAAAAAAGTTGGCAATGCCGAGGGCCCGGCTGAGTTCACCGAGCACCAATTCACAGGGGCACGACGCTCCCCTGCTGCGTGGGTTTGCTCTTCGACGGTTAAGGCCTCTCGTTTTAGAGCTCAGTTGCCTGCCGACTTCTTTAAAGGTTCAGTAGGCAGTGAAGTGTGAGTCTGCAGCAGAGCTGAAGGACAAAGCTCTAGCAGGTAGAAAAAAAGATTTGGAACGATGCATCGCAGGTCAATGATACCATGGCTATAATTAGAGCTATGCAGAGAGAGTCAGGTAACACGATGACCACATGTGGGACCCTAGGGGACATTCACATTTAGGAAATGGACACAGAAATGGAGCCCATGAAGGAAACGCAGAAGGTTGGGCTAAGCAGAGGGTGACGATGGCCTGCACAAGAGCAGTTTCACACAACAATGGGGCTGGGAAAAGACCGAATTGGATAGAGAAGGCCAAGAGAGAAAGCAATAACTAGAAGGGAACAGTGACAAGGAAAATTATTCTTTCTAGTTTCTATTTATTGTTTGTGTTTTTCTTTTCAGTTCTTTTCTTTTCAGATGGGAAAGACTTAAACAAGCAGAAAGGGAAAGGAAAAAATAAGTAACATGAGTAAATTCTAAAATATGAAGGCTCAATGAAAAATAATCACTTTTCATTTTACTCTAGCCAATATTTTAAAAATTTTATCCTTCACTACCACTTACCATGTTAAAAACTGCGATGTCCAGTATACTACCCTCCAGAAAATTGGCATGATTCCATCAGGAATGTAACTCCATGGCTTGAAACACGGATGTGGACTGTTTGATAACAATTTAAAGCAAATTAATCATAAATGGTGACTAATTAAATGAATTACACAATTAATTTGTATATGGCAAAGTTTATTTGCATTCAGATTTTAAATTATTGACTTTAACTTGTAGATTTTTATATAAAATTCAAAGCTAATTGTCAAACTAAACAAACACACACAACGGGAACAAAACAGTTTGGGATGCAATGTTCACCCAATAGACTAATAATGCAACTGTATTTCAAAACAAATGCATTGTGAAATTAAATCTCTTGTATGATTTCCTTAAATACTGATGATTACCTTTAAAATACACACTCACCCCATTTGTGGGGTTGGTTATTTTGGGGAAGGGGAGCGGGGAAAAGAAAGACATTGGGTGTTTAATTCCTGGAAACTGAAATGCTAACTAATCAGTTACTCCGGCATAACTCCTATGGAGACATATGCCAGCATCTATACACAATTCAATTGGAATTTTCTGACGATACGTGTATCTGACCATAGATCAGTGATGGTGAACCTATGACACGCATGTCAGAGGTGACACGCGAACTCATTTTTTTTATTTTTCTTTGTTAAATGGCATTTAAATATATAAAATAAATACCAAAAATATAAATCTTTGTTTTACTATGGTTGCAAATATCAAAAAATTTCTATATGTGACACGGCACCAGAGTTAAGTTAGGGTTTTTCAAAATGCTGACACGCCGAGCTCAAAAGGTTCGCCATCATTGCCATAGATCAGGGGTCCTCAAACTACGGCCCGCGGGCCACATGCGGCCCGCCGAAAACATTTATCCGGCCCGCCGGGTGTTTTTGCCGCCGCTGCCTGTCCTGCTTAGCAGCCGACTCGTCCGGGCCCGCAGTGCGCATGTGTGGAATGTCTGAGGGACAGTGAACTGGCCCCCTGTTTAAAAAGTTTGAGGACCTCTGCCATAGATCCTTCCATTAACAGTCTTTCTAGACTGTAAGGGTATCCTTCAGTCCCAGGGCTTTCCATATGCACAACTGCTGCTGATTTATGTCCAATTTTTCATGATGCTTCAAAGGGAAGTGCCTACATTTTAAATTTACCCTTATTCGAGTTAGATTTAAAAAATAAAATAAAAGTCACACAAAGAAGCATGCAAATACTCCTTAAAGCATTGGCAAAAAACACAGTCAGCGTTTATTAGCTTTCACTCTGAGCAGTGTGCACTTGAACAGTAAACTACCCATGCTGCTGGGAGTTAGCCATGTTTGGCCAGTTGTGTAATTCTTTCGGGAAGGTAACTGCTACGAGCAGAAGAGAGCTGACAATTTTCAGTGCAAAAATTAAAAGGCAGCATTGAAATCAATGATGAGAAACTAATGTTACGCTAAAATGTTTTCCTAAGAAAGTCTGCCATTCTTCGTCTTTTCTATTATGAGATTTCTCTGCTGGATTTTACCTTTTACAATTAAATGTGTTTTTGTCCTTTGAGCCACCATCTACTCTAATTCTGGCCACACGTTCTTTAGATTCTCTTCAATAGTGTATCTTGTGGATTGAAAAAAGTATGCAATACAGGCATAAACATACACTTCTTTCCTACCTTCCACATAATCCTATCTAATAAAGAGGGAATATGCTAATTGACCCCCACGCTGTCGCAAAGATGTCGGCACCCACAGTCAATAAGGAGGGAATATGCCAATTGACTGCCCCACCCTCAAAGATGGCGGCGCCCACAGCCAATAAGGAGGGAATATGCTAATTGACTGCCCCACCCTCAAAGATGGCAGCGCCCACAGCCAATAAGGAGGGAATATGCTAATTGACTGCATCACCCTCAAAGATGGCGGCACCCATAGCCAATAAAGATGGAATATGCTAATTGATTGCCCCACCCTCAAAGATGGCTGCGCTCACAGCCAATAAGGAGGGAATATGCTAATTGACTGCCATTCCCTCAAAGATGGCAGTGCCCAGTCCCCTCAGCCTCGCCGGGGCAGCACACACGTGGCATGACTGGGCCCGCCCCCAGGCAGGCCTGGCCGCTCCACGTGCCTGCCTCCGAGTCCCCCAGTCCCCTCAGCCCCCAGCAGCCCAGGGCCGTCGGAGGCTCAGGTAACCAGGGCCGGCAGAGGCGTGCGCTGCCGGAAGTGGCAGCAGCAGAGGTGTGATGGGGCGTCACCTTCCCCTGATCGCCGGGTTGCCTCCCGCCCCTGAGGGCTCCCGGACTGTGAGAGGGGGCAGGCCAGGCTGAGGGACGCCCCCTCCAGTGCATGAATTTTCATGCACCGGGCCTCTAGTTTTCTCAATAAGACCCATTTGCAAAAACATGTTTAACATTTTTTGAAATAAAAAAATTCATCTTAGGGTTGAAGGTAAACAAACATATACAAACACAAAAAAACACTAGATCACTAGATTTTTTGCTTGGAAAATTAATATGAATTCAATAAAACCTTTTGATAATTTGAACTTTATTCATTTTCAGTCTAAAACTCCAACAATTTCAAATGATGTGATATATGAAAGAAATATCCCACATATAAAATTACCCTCTTGTCCTTTAATACTTGACCTTGCATATTAGGCAAAAGAGAAAATGCATGCCCCATTTTTTAGGTCTGAGAGCAGCTGAGGTGAAAAATAGCTTTTGGAAATCACATTCTAAAAGGGGTTGAAGCAGGATTAAAAAATCTAAGTTTTCTGAAGTTTCTCATTAGCATCTACTAAAAGGCCTTGTGCACAACAATAAATCTTTAAAATTGATGTGATATTTAAATTTAAGCAAAATACGACGTAATTAAAAGTCTACCAGCAAAGGATGGAGGTGGGAGGAGGGGGTGAGTAAAGAATGAGAATAAACTTTTATAAATATAAAATCCAGATGGTAAACACTGACAATTTTTGAACAACTTGCCTTCTACAATATGTAAGGAAGAAAGGAAGGAAGGCAGGAAGGGAGGGAGGGAGGGAGGTAGGAAGGGAAGGAGGGAGGAAAGGAGGGAAAAAGAATACCTTGGAGCTGGGGTGGCCGTTGCGTACAAGCCTGTGATGTTGCTGTTCTCAGGAGGGCTTGAGTTGGCAGCAGCATGCTTGCATCGGTTGTATATTGTCTAAAGCAACAAATACATGGTTTAAAAATGAAAATCAAAAGGTTACCCAGAACTTTAGGGATATTGGAGTGTGCTAACCTATCTACCCAAATTATCTTCCTGGCTAGGCTTTTTAGTGATCAAATTCATATAACATTTAAATTGAAAATAAGTGTAACCTTACATAATTTAGTAGTCTTCGATCTAACATATCTCAAACATGCTGTATGATTACAATTGTCTTTTAAATTGTGAAAATCAGTTTCACCTCTTACCGTACTAACGTCCAGAGGCAGTATGAAGACAATAAGAAAGCAGAGATACCAAGCTAGCAGTGTTCCAACAATTACAAGTCTGTGCTGTTTCTTAAAGTCTCCATATCGATGAAGTAGAAATAATGCCAGAAAAAAAACAAAAACAATCTCGAGTCCCAAAGCTGCACCACTCATTATTGAGCGTTCACTCGGACTAACCGAAGTAACTCAGTACAGGGCTGGATCATATCTGTAAACTGAAAAAAAAAAAAAAATGCAGTATTAACATAGGGCACAACCACTTGGAAATTTCCTAAATATTGTTTATTAATGCATGAGTAAATTCTCTGGAAAACTGTCAGCCTTTACAATGGACCATAAATAAGGTAGAAAGGATAATTCCTACTCTCAAGTTCTTATATCTTACTTTTAAAGCATATCTTGAGATTTCACATAAGTTATATCTTCAAGAAAAAAGATATTTTAACAAAATTTACATTAGTTCTAAAAACATTACAAACTAAGAATACTAGCTGTGAAGTTTCAATACAGTGTCATTTGGAGCTTATTGCTTAATGTTTTAAGTCCTAATAGAGAATTTTATACAAATTTACTACTGATTAGATCCTAGGGAGTTAGATATTTTATAAAATAAAGTTTTCCAAGTCATCCAAACCCATTTTCTAAAAGAGGGAGAGACAGAAAGAGAGATGAAGAGAGACTATTTGAAAGTAACATTTCTTTTGTTTGAAACTGTATTTTTCTTTATTGCTAATCTTATCTAAAAACTTTCAGAACTTGAAATTCTTAATTCCTTTACTGCTTCACAAAATATACTTACCACTTTCCATTTATCTATATAAATCTTATTTTCTTTTTAAAAAGTTACTTTACCTATTTTATATGCTTAAAAACTTATCAATGACTATTGAACAGTCATACATTAAAATTATTTTTATTATAAATGCTGATGATAATAAGCAAATAGTTTAGTTAATAGAGATAAGCAAATAGTTTATCTGCTATCTATTTACTCTTATAAAATAATTTACCAGTGTGACTCAATGGTTGAGCATCAACCCATCAATCAAGAGGTCACATTCCTGGTCAGGGCACATGCCAGGGTTCTGGGCTGGATCCCCAGTAGTGGGTGTGCAGGGAGCAGCCAATCAATGATTCTCTCTCATCATTGATGTTTCTATCTCTCCCTCTCCCTTCCTTTCTGAAATCAATAAAAAAATATTTTTAAAAAACAATAAAATAAAATAATTTACCTTTACTAACTGAAGGCAATATGTACTTTTCACCTTTGCAAAATCAATGCTAGGAATTTTTGTTTGTCTATGAACTAACTAAATATTCCAAGGAATTGATTAATTCATTAATTAACATAGAAAAAAAGATTGTGATGCCACCCACCAAAAGAAAATAAGGCAGAATTAATAAAATACTTCAAATCAACAAACATCTCCAACCAAAACTAGTTATAAAAAGAACAAAGAACGTTTGGGTACTTTACAAGCTAAACTTAAATCTATGTGAAAAAATCATAAAAACATAAAAGTAATATTTAATAAACTATTTTCTTATTTCTTTATATTGTCGAAGTAGTTTCTTTCTATTCCTCTGTGCATTTCAACCAAATTTTCATTTTTCTTAAGTATCTAAAATTGTAACTCTTTTGTCACTATCCTCATTTCCTGCTATATTTTTATACTAAGCACTTATCCACCTGATATAACATATATTCTTTATATTTATTGTCTCCTTATAAGCCCTCCCTCTTCCACCTCCCCACTCTTACACAGATTCTATGAGAGCACAGGCTTGACAATTTTATTCAGTACTATATCCCAAGTCTCTAATATAGTGTCTGGCATGTAGTAGATATTCAAAAATATTTGTTGAATGAATAAATGAATAAAAAACATCACTATTTACTTTAATATATACACTTTTAATTACTGCTGACTTCAAAGGCAATGTAAAACTTGTTATGGTCTCCAAAATTGATTTTATCAATACTTATTACAACTCAAAAGGCTTAAAAATCTATTCACTACTACTACTCAAAATTTCAAAATCAAAAAATGTACACCAATACAATAAAAATAAGTCAGATCTTATCTTTAAGCCAAGAATAGATTAAATGGTTGGTTAGGCAATATCTCAACGTAGGCTATGCTGATGAAACCATAACCATCTTCAAGATCCAGCTTTCAAAAAATTGTAATTCAATGTGAATTTAACATAATTATTACCTGAAAATTTCCTTAGGGTTTGACATAGATATTTATTTGCCTGAAATTGTCCAGTGCAAGGAATATAACAATCATAGAAAAAAAACTCGCTATCAGAGATTATCAAGGAAATGCTAAATAAAGTATGGCAGAATCAAATAGATTACTGAAGTATAAGAAATGTTTGTTAAGATTATTTAATAACCTTAGAAAATTACCATAACATTAACTGAGAAACTAGATGCACACATTTTTACATAACATGCATAAAAATAAGGCAATGAAATATATGCAGATTGCAATAATAGGTGGTAAGATTAAGGGAATAAACAAACAACAAAACCACAGTTATAAACACAGAACTTGCTAATATTTTTTTACGATGACTGCTTTTTTAGTCTGTTTCATCACCAGCACTTTATGTTATGGACGAATACACAGAATTACGAATCTTTTATTCTAGTAATAAAGAAATGATTTGTTTCATCTCTTCCCATAGTCATTATCTGAGTCTCCTGCTGCTGCTGTAAACAATTACTGTGACTTGGTGGCTTGCAACAACACACCCACCTCACAGTTTATGTGGGTCAATATCTAGGCACAATGTGGCTCAACTGAGCTCTCAAACTCAAAATGAAGGTGTCAGCAGGTTTGTGTTCCTCTCGGGAGACTCTGGGGAAGAATCCATTCCTCAGTTCATTCAGGCTGCTGGCAAATTCCGTTTATGGTTACAGAACTGAGATCCTTTCGGGCTGTCAGCTGGCATCTGCCCTGAGCTCTCGAGATCTCATTCCAGCCTTTGCATGTGGCCTGGATCTGAGAGCCAGCAAAAAACACTCCTCAAGTCCTTCTCACTCTAGGAATCTGACTTCCTCTTCCGCCCTCAGATGGGAGAAAGCTCTGCTTTTAAAGGCTCCTCTGACCTCACTGGGCTCGCCTACTTCCAGGGATTTCGGTAGAGCTATCCTTCGGGGTCTATCACTGTTTACCACAGCATCTTTCTGTTCAGGGTGAACTCCTGTTGCCTTGTTATGACACAAGGTTAGGTCTGATCCCATGAAATTGGAGAAAGGAATTGGGTTTTCCCTAACCTGTGATGAGGAAATAATAGTTTTAAAGTCTATATCTTGACCTTGTGCCTAAATTCAAGTGAGGAATTATTTTTTGCAGTCCAGAATTATAGCACTTTCTAAGGTTCCTTATGAATTCCTGTAGCCTGTCTTTATTATTTCAGCTGAATAACTTCCTGCTCAAAGCTAGGGATACCTCCTTATTCTCCACCTTATATAGTTATTTGCATATTAACTTCATAAAATAACTTCATTAAAATCTAATAAACAGATTGGTCAACTCCAGTTTGGCTTATTTAAAAAAAACAAAAACCTTCATTGCCAGGAAGGGCAGCAATTTGGCAATTTGTATCAAAGACCTTAAAAAAGGTACTTACCCTTCATTCTAGCAATTCCTCTTAGAATATCTTAAAGAAAAACCAAATAGGAACAAAAATGTATATACAATGTTACTTTCTACAGCAGTGAAAACATAGCCCTGCCAGTGTGGCTCAATGGTTGAGCATCGACCTGTGAACCAGGAGGTCAGGGTTCAATTCCCAGTCAAGCCACATGTCTGGGTTACTGGCTTGATCCCCTCTCCCTTCCTCTCTACATCAATAAAAATATTTTTAATTAATAAAAATTAAAACATAGAAACAATTTAAGTGTTTGTACTAAATAGTCCAGGAAGTCTTAAAAATATCCATTAGCCTCATCGTGGTCCATTGCCTTTTTGAGAAAAACAGGAAGGGTTTCATAAATCATTAACCCTGCTAACTTGGCATGACTGATGGGAGCAGAGGTCTGTGCCTGAATCAAGGGCTGCCTACAGAACCACTCCACTGCAGACAGTGACTACAGGAGCCCACCAGATTCCACAGTCTAGAAGAAAAGGAGACTCAGAGACACTGCAGAGATGTCGGAGAATATATACCAGAAACACACATATATGCATGGACAAATATACATCAAAATGCTAACAGTAGTTGTCACAACGTAGTAAAGAGATGACTTCTACTGTATTCTTTGTGCTTTCTTATGGGTTTTTAATTTTACATCGTGAATATGTATTATTTTAACATTTCAAAATCATTTAAACATCGATATAGTAACATGAAGATAAAACATATGGCAACTAGAAAATAAAAAATTTTGCTGCAGCACTATTAGGTGCCTAAAATTACAACTACTTTAAAATACAAATGTTTTATTATACCATGGTAAACCAACTCTAATTAATAACTGTGTAACTTTATGCAAATGAAACTGTTAGCCGTGACCAGGTGGCTCAGTTGGTTGGAGCATCATGCTTGACACCAAAAGGTTTCAGGTTCGATTTCCGGTCAGGGCACATACCTAGGTTGCCGGTTCAATCCCTGGTCGGGTGCGTACGGGAGGCAACTGACCGATGTTTCTCTCTCTCTCTCAAATCACTAAAAATATATTCTCAGGTGAGAATTAAAAGGAAAAAAGAAAAGAAACTGTCAAATGAGGATAATCATCTCACAAGAGTTGCTATGAAGATCAAATGAGATATAAAAGTAAAACACCAAGTAGGAGTTCCAGACACAGAGCAGGTCTTCAATACATTCGTGTTACTAATCTCCACCTCCTTCATATCAAGTGCTTCTAGAACCTAACTAGCTGCCTCAACAGTCTCAAAGCATAGCTTGACCCTATATGCTTTCTCTCTCACACACAAAAAAACTATGCTTTTTGCTTCACATTCGCTGTGGTTATCACAGCCTGGGCCCATTCTCATTCCTATCAAATAAAAACCGATCTTCACTCAAGAAATTGCTCCCCTTGCCTCACGTGACAAACTGGGAGTACGTCCCTAGGTCTGCAAGGTAGCCCAAACACGCCTTGGTGGGACCGTGTGGACAGTGACAGAACCCTCTCAGAGCCATGTCAAGCAGCTGCACTGTATACCAATGTCACATAGGAAGACAATGCCATTC